GCACCATCCGGGGCCAATGGCTGAGCCAGGCAGGGCCAAGGTGAGCCTGGCTGTGGGGCCAGAGACCCCTCCGGGTCAGGTTCTTCTCGGCGACTTACCAGCTGGGTCACCTCCTTCATTCATTCCGCAGCGCCCGGCACCTGACTCTGGGCCAAGCCCTGTGCCCACCCCTGGACTTACAGCACCTACAGCCTCGCTTCGGCCTCACGCACAGCTTCCGGCAGGTGGTGTTACTGTGACCCCCTTTACAGATGGGGACCTGAGCTCAGGAAGGTCACATGAATGCCCACGTGCCACGCCCACGGTGAACGGTGGGGCTGGGGTCTAGTCCTGGTGGCTGGCCGCAAAACCCACACTCTTTAAAAATACATATTTTTATGGAATTCAGAGAGGAAGGGAGAGAGGGGGAGAGAGAGAAACACAAAGATGAGAGGGAATCATTGATCACTGCCTCCTGCATGCCCCCTACTGGGGACCGAGCCCACAACCCAAACATGTGCCCTTGAGCAGAATCGAACTCAGGACCCTTCAGTCCGCAGGTTGAGGCTCTATCCACTGAGCCAAACCAGCCAGAGCCAAAATCCCATGCTCTCTACCACAACACTGACCTCCCCCGGCCTGTGTCCTCCACCGTCACTTGAGGTGGTCCGGCCTCCTTGCCCTCTTAAAGGATTGTGCTCCAGGGTGAACATAAATGCTGCGAGGAAAATGAGTCGTGTAGTGTTCTTTGTCCTGTAGTGTTCTTCGTGCCCAGCACAGTGCCTGGCACATAGTAGGTGCTCCTTACGTTTGCTAAAGTGAATGAGTGAGTGACTGGAGGCAGTCAAGTGCACCATACGGAGTACAGGTTCGACTGGGAAAGGGGGGAGAAGACACTGCTCTCTTAGCCGGAAACGGGGCTGAATTCTCGCTTTCTCTCTCACACTCCCAGGGCCGTCTCGGGCAGAACCACGGCACGTCAGAGTGCAGACAGGCCTCGGTGTGGTCCAGTTCACCCACACTCTCCACCCTCCACCCCTACCTCAAAGATGAGGCAACCCAGGGGGACCCCTTGCCAGATTCCCCAGACAGCTCTGGACTCCACGGAGGCACGCTGCGTCACCTCTGGGGCCCTCCAGAACCACGTAGAATTGGGGTGCAGCCCTAACCTCCACACAGCTCCCAGGAGTGAGTGGCTTGTGGGTTTCATTCGTCACAGGACAAAAGTGACCCCTGGCCCTGACTGGTTTGGCTCAGTGGATAGAGCGTCGGCCTGTGAACTGAAAGGTCCCAGGTTCGGTTCTGGCCAAGGGCGTGTACCGTGGTTGCGGGCACATCCCCAGTGGGGGGGGGGGGGGTGCAGGAGGCAGCTGATCGATGTTTCTCTCTCATCGATGTTTCTGACTCTCTGTCCCTCTCCCTTCCTCTCTGTAAAAAACCAATAAAATCTATTAAAAAGTGCCTTGCAACTGTGTGCCCGTCATTCTCACAGCATCAGCACCCTCCTTGGAGGCATCTGCAGTGTCCTCTCAGGTGAGAAAACCCTCCCACCCAATAGAGGCCCCCTACCGCCCAAGGGCTCCTATCGCCCCCTCCAGCCTGCTCACCACCCAGCTGCAGACCACAGCCCAGGCTTCCGTGTAGGAGGGGGTCAAGCTCATAGCAGCAAAAGAATGTTTTAAGTTCTGTCCAGTTATCCACAAATCCTTCCTTTCTATTTTCTGAACTTCGCCCCAAACATGAGCAAGTGCGATGCCTCTTACACAGCCCGGGGGAAGCACGAGTCGCAAGTTGTGAGCACTGTCACCGCTGTGATCACATCGGGCGCGCTATTTTTACTTTCTGGGCCGAACGGGTGTCGTCACTGTTGGCTGAGAGAGTGGAGGAGGCTGCCCTGCGACTGCGGATGGCCTCATCTAGACTCACAAGACCCGTGTGTGTGCGTGTGTCTGTGTGCGCATGTGTGTATGCATGTGTGTGTGTGTGCGTGTGTGTGCGTGCGTGTGCGTGTGTGTGTCTAGGAGTGGGATGGCGGCAGGCCATCTGCTCAAGCCAAGAGGTGCCTAACTGCCCTGGCCTGTTTGGCGCAGCGGATAGAGCATGGCCTGTGGACTGAAGGTGTCCCATTCCGGTCCAGGGCACATACCTCAGTTGCGGGCCCAATCCCTGTCCCAGGACAGGGCACGTGCGGAGGCAACCAATCAATGTGTCTCTCTCTGTCTCTCCCCCTCCCTTCCACTCTCCCTAAAAATCAATGGAAAAAATATCCTCAGCTGAGGAATAACAAAAATAAAAAATAAAGTACTTAAAAAAAAAAGAAGTGACTAACAGAACAAAACTACGCTTCAATGTCTGAGCCATCGTGGGGGAGCCTTGGGCAGAACACCCACGTGCCCAGTAGCCCTGCTCCAACCAGCTCACGCTCCCCACGTGGTCTGAGAAGCATCCCTTTCCTTCCTGTTTCCAGCAGGGCTGAGCTGACTTCAGAAAAAATCCCATCTTCCCAGATGCCCTCTAACATCGCTTCTCAGGTGCCTGTGGCCAGTGGGCACTGTGCCTGGCCCTCCACAAACACGACCGCTCTCACTCCTCACAACAAGCCTTCCCATGCAATAGTGCTGTTCTCCTCTGATGAGTGGCAGTGCCCTGACGGGGTCTCCGGCTGGCCAGCTGCAGGCTGAGCTGGGACCCAGGCCCCTGCCTGCTGCCCTGCGCTGCGTGGCTGAGGAAGGAATTCCCTTCCAGAACAGCATGTGATCCAGAGCATGTGACCAGCCCACCAGCCAGCCGAAAGCAGGACATACTTGTTTTGGGCATTTCCAAACTTCCCAAAGGGGTCTCCGGCCATCCCGCCATCTCCGGTGAAGATGTAGAGGTACCCATCGTCCCCAAAGAGCAGCTGGCCCCCGTTGTGGTTCGCCGCTGGTTCTTCAATCTCCAGGATGATCCTAAAAGAAGATAAATGTCCCCACCCCCGGCCCCCAAAATATCCTCAGCCAAAATACAAAACAAGATCACAGCCACAGGACCTCCTCCCCCCTGGATGCCACTGCACAGCGGCAAAGACTCTGGGTGTCCTTTACAGTGGTTTTTACAAAGGTCTGGAGGTCTGGGCATGGGTAGTTCACTCTGTTGTGCTAACGAGAACTTGGATGCTCAGAGGGTTGACAAACTTGCCCAAGTTCACAGCAGAGCTGGAACTAGAACTCAGGTCTGCTAGTTCTGGTCTAACGCTTCTTCAACTGCTCCTCACTGCTAGCCCCTGCCCTGTGATGATCACGCAGAACTGTGGGCCCAGGCATAGCTGGTTGTTCTATCAGCCATGGCTACCCACACATAGCGGAACACTTCTACACTCCCTCCCTGGCAGGAGATTGGAGGCAAGGAGGAAGGGAGCAGCCAGGGCATTCCTCTCTCTCTCTCTCTCTCTCTCTCTCTCTCTCTCTCTCTCTCTTTGGGCTGTGTCTTGCCAATAGCTTATCTCCTCCCTAGATCCAACTCCTGCTGCCCGGGCCCACCACGGCTCCAGCTTCCGCTGAGTGGCCCCAGCTCGGGGCTCCAGTGCTCCCACCTCCTCACTTTGTGCTCCAGCCCAAGAGGTGAGGCAGCTTCCTTCACCTGTTAAACTCAGAGCTGCCGCACATCCTCCCCACGTTGCTCTGTCGTCATTCCTCACACCCAGTAACTCCCATGCCAAGCTCTGCCTATGGAACGACCTGGTACAGGCTTTTCCCCTATGGGACTCACACTGATGTGTATGCCCTCCACACAAGGTCAGGACAACAAGCCCGTCTCAGAAACAGCCAGGCGTAAATAGTACCCAGAGAGCAGGATCAGTGTTGACGGGGGCAGAGGCCTGGAGGGAAGGAATGGCTAAACCAGCTGCGGGTGGGGAAGTGGGGAAGGTCCAGGCTAGGAGAAGTGGAAGGCAGGGGACAGGGCTCAGTCACCTGGGGCCGTGGGGATGGGGTGGGGGTGAGAGGAGCAGTGGGATGGGCTTGTATGACGGACAGGCCAGAGTGCTAGCTCTGAGCTTCCTGGCTCTGCGACCTAGCAGGTCACGTCACCTCTGAAGCCTCCACTTCCTCATCTGTGAAAAGGGGCAGTAACACTGACCTGGCTGGGCTTTTCCAGAACCCAGTGAAACAAACCACCTGAAGTGCCTGACCCGGGGCTCTGGATCCTGTGCTGTCTGTCTGGCAGCTGTCCCTCCCCTGACCCCAGAGCACAGGGGTCAGCCCCTCCCCGGGGGCGGCACTGAAACCATTGAACCACCCGTGCAACATGCCCAGGTTCAGCCCTGCCCCGCCCGGCCTGGCTCCCAGGGAGGCCACCTCTCAGAGCTGTGGTCCACGGCGTTCGTGTCGTTCTCCGCGACCCTGAACTCGCTGATGCGGATCCACTCGTGGAAGTCGACCCCCACCGAGTAGTAGACGTAGAGCCTGCCGTTGTGCCGGAAGCGGGGGTGGAAGGCCATGCCCAGGAAGCCCCGCTCGTCGCCCTCCCAGGGCGAGGTGAGCACCGCCCGGCTGATGTTCAGGAAGGGTTTCTCCACCCGGGAGCGGTCGGGCAGGTAGGCCCACACCAGCCCCACCTGCTCGGCCACGAAGAAACGGTGGGTGCCGTCCTGGGCGTGGACCATGGCCACGGGGTTGCGCAGCCCGTTGGCCACCTCCTCCAGGCACAGCTGCAGGCAGCCCTTGGCGTCGGCCACCACGCGGCCCAGGTTCGCATTGAGGTTCTCGTTGACCAGCAGGCGAGGGAAGCAGTAGTCCGTGTCGTCCAGGGACAGGTAGCGGCAGAACTTGGCACGGTCGCCCTCCAGGGCCCAGAGCTTGCGGTCGGGCGACAGGTGGCGGAACAGGCCCCGGCAGGTCTGCCACATGTCCAGGCAGTAGTCCTCGCAGAGCCCCGGCAGGGTGCGCAGCGGCGTGGACGGGTCCTCG